GAGCCTTCCAGCAAAATTCTCCAAAGCAAACCCTCTTCCCCAGGTCTGCTTGCAAGTTGCGTTCAGAAGTGGGAATGATGGGGCGCCTGGGTGGCTCAGTCGCTTAAGCAACTGCCTTTGGCTCAGGTCGTGATCTCAGGGTCCTGGGAAGGAGCCCCGCATCGGGCTCCCTGCTCCGCGGGAAGCCTGCTTCTCCCTCTCCCACCCCCCCTGCTTGTGTTCCCTCTCTCTCTGTCAAATAAATAAAAAAAATCTTAAAAAAAAAAAAAAAAGAAGTGGGAATGAGGGGTGTGTGAAGCCTGGGCGGCATGGGCGTGCCTGGTTTCAGAGTCAGCCTCCTACTGATGCAAATAAGCAGCCTGTGCTTATCTGAGAGAGGCAGGCTTGAGGAACAGCATCCTGTGTCGCCTGAAGGCTTGACTGAAGAGGAACGTGGGGTCCAGGAGAGGGACAGAGCCCACTGAGTGAGAAGAACAGGAACATGATGGAAGCCCAGGAGAAATGGAAGTCCTTGAAGGCTTTGGTGAGAGAAGTGACCCAATCCGGCTATTCTTTCATGAAAGCCTGGCTCCCAATATGGGCGTGGGCTTCTGGCCAGGGTGGACACTGACAGAGAAGTTAAAATGATCAGAGGACAGATGGTGGTAGTGGGATCAGGGTGGTAACCAGGGAGGAGGTGAGAAGTAGTTAGATCCTGCTTATATTTTATATTTTATTTTACTTTTAAATGTGATATATGTCCTATTTTTTTCCACAAGTGATTTTTAAAAAAGATTTTATTTATTTAGTCGACACATTGAGAGAGAGAGAGAGAGCCCAAGCAGGGGGAACTTTAGAGGGAGAGGAAGAAGCAGACTCCCCGTTGAGCAGGGAGCCCGATGCGGGGCTCCATCCCAGGATTATGGGATCGTGACCTGAGCTGAAGGCAGATGCTTCACTGACTGAGCCACCCAGGTGCCCCATATTTTAAAGTTTATATTCAATAAAGTGTGCTCGTGGATTAACCGTGAGGTGTGCAGAGGCAGGAGTGGAGGTGGCCTGAGCAGGTGGAAGAATGGGCCGCCATGAATCGTAAACAACCATGGAGCGGGTTTGTGAGGGTGAGAACACCCCTCGGCAGAGCTCACATTAGAAAAGTTCATCTATCCCCACGCAGAGGTGTGAGGTGGGCGTAGACACTGGGATAGGCAGGAGAGGTCAGTTGGGAGTCAACGGCGTTACTGACATTTCTCAGGCAATGACATGCGGACAGCATCCACCGGGACCTGGGTGGGAGGAGAAGGAGACAGCCCAGCCCTCCCTCCCGGGCCTCTCCCACTGTCAGGAGTGATGGAGAAAGGGACAGATCAGCGAAAGAGAATGAGGAGAAGCGGGCAGGAGACCAAGATAAAGTGTTGCTGGGAAGGCTGGTAGTGAACGGTGCTTGAAATGCTGAAGACAGGTCACAGGGATAAGGCCTGAGACTAAATCCTGCTTTCATCAGTGTTGGCGATCTGACGGTTTTGACAAGGACATCTGTGTGAGGCCAGGGCGGAGCCTGACCGGGGCGGGCTTGGGGACGCCTGTGAGGAGGGACACCCACAGCGGTGAACACATGGGGGTGACAAGTGCATCTTACAGGTGCACGACAAAGATCTCCTGACTGCCTAGGAGAAAATGATCTCTTTCTTCTTTCCTAGAATTCATTTATATGTCTTGATCATCTCCCTCACTTTCCCTTTCTCCCCTAAATCCTTCTATCTACTTGAAAGGGTTCATATTAGAGATGGTGGGATTTGTGAAGTTGCTTGCCACCCACCAGCAAGAAAAGTTATTCTGCGTTCTCAGTCCTCGGGTGCAGCGAGCGAAGAGATTATCAACACTTCCTTGTTTTAATATTGAAAATGGAGTAGTTTGTCTCTTTCAGTGTTTTGCCCTCCAAAGTAACTAAATAGCATATTTTTCTTATACTTCCGCTTTCTTGGCTTTTAGTTTCATTACTGAAAATGGGACTCATGCCCAGAAATTCTCCAAACAAAACCTGACTTTTAAATACAATGTTTAACTTGTAACTACAGACTCTGTAGATATAAATAAAGTTATCTTTATGGGATGAAGTGATTTTTTAAAAACCCCACCTTGTTTCACTTGACCTGTTTTTTTGTGCTTTACATCTCATTCACCACTCATTACAGGGGAACAGAATAAGTCAGATTTTTGAGAATTCCTATTTATATTGTTTAGAAGAAGAGAGGATCGGATGACAGGTTTGATCATGGTCTCACTGCAGAGTATAATAGTATTAATTTGTGTTAAGTGCCATATTTTACCTCTAATTAATCTGGAGTATCTATGTTATTAATATTCTTTCCTGCCACTAATTTCTTCTATCCGTCTTATATTTGTATATTCATTTGCATTCTCTGAATTGGAGAAACATGGGGTGAATTTCCCTGTGTAGTCTCTCATAAATCTAGACACCTGAGTTTGGGTGCTTGTCTGTCTGTTACTTACATGTGATGTGGCCTTGAACTTAAAACTCATCCTTCTGCTTCTTCATCAACACAAAAGAATATGTTTTTGCATTTAGAGAGGGGTATACAAAATAGGGTAGGGATTAAGAATGTGGACCTTGAAGACAGATACCTGGTTAGCACCCCTGAAACACTGAAATCGGATGAGGTATGTAATAGTAATCCAAACATATCAACCCTATTAACGACAAACTAATGCAAGGGTTAAAACAGAATTTCACATGTTACATTTAAAGATATGCAGAATTAGATTGTTCCCATAGATCTAATTTGAGTTTTATTTCCTTTTCATTGGACTACTTTGTTTTCATCATGCAGATAATACATGTTTTTCCCAGCTTCACAGCTGGCAGTAAAAATTAACAACCTATGAGCTGAATGTAAAACATAAGCTTCTTTCACTGTGATAAAATTTGGCTTTTTGTTTTCCTCTCTCCATCCATAAATTGTGTGTTGGTGTGTGTTTATTGGGACCAGGGGGCAGGGGGCAGGTAGAGAACAAATGATAGATTTTGTGACTTTTCATGACATCACTAGTATGTCCATATGGATAGGGCATAATGGCTTTTGGGATAATTAGCTACAAAAGAAAGGGAGAGAGAAAAGGTCCTGTTCAGAATGATTTGTGTGTACGAACTGCTCCTGCTTTAATCAGATCACAGCTGCTGGGTCAGAACCCCATATAGACCAATTGGTTTCATCCAGTATAAAAGCAATGTTTTCTGGTCATAGACTGTACCTCTCACCCTTATCAGCTGTGTTCAGGGAGCCTGCTGGGTGTCTCAGAGGGGACTCCTAGAAGAGCGTCCATGGCTCAGCACAAATTAATCACAACCACTGGATGCAGAAGGAGCCACCCACGGTGTCAGCAGCACATATGGCTACATGTGAAAAGAATACATCATTCCAGAAAAGGCTACACATTATTTCAGGATTGTTGTCCTCAGTGCGAAGCGGAGCTCATGAACATTTCACTCCATGGACCACTCTGGCGGTCTTTTCCCAAAGAAAATTCAAAAGCATAAAATAAATGACATAACATTATAGAGGGAACCTAATGCATTGAATTAGAGTTATTCAAAATATTAAAAAAAAACAAAAATAGGTAGTTCTATCAATGCTTTAAATAGCCTAATGTTACAGTGAGTTTATTAATTACCATAATTTCAAATTAGTAATTAGCATAAATGATACGTCAAAATATCTTCAATATTAATAATAATATGAAGGGAAAAATATTGTGATTTTTCTTGGTTCAGAGTTACCAGCACGGCCAAACATCACTATGATTTGTTAATTACCCTCTTAGTTGATGAAAATGCTAAATTACAATTGGAGGAAAGTGCACAATTATCTTCTAGAAGGCCCAGGTTCTTGCCTCTGGATTGAAATATCAGAGGTATCTATCTGAACTACTTATAAATTTTCAGGGCCAAAATGTTATTATTTCATCCAGGAAAGCACTCCAGGATTTAATATAAAATATTTAACTTTCACTTGGAGTTAATTTCAAAATACAACTATTGCAATAATGGGGAAAACTTATCAATAAAAATTGACAGCAGAGACTTTGAATCTATTTTAATAGATGTACATTCTATTGAGTTGTGTCCAGGTTTCTCCTAACATTTAGAGGAAATTTTCTAGAAGTCAGTTTTGATGAAATCTTCCCTTAGATAAAACTTTTGGATTGCTATAGAGTAAGACACATTTTCTTAATAAAACAGAAAGTCAAGGGTTGGTGTTTCCCCAAGCCCCAACATGACCATGTGGTCATGGAAAGAAAATTTGTTGGAAATGTAAATTGTCATCAATTTTTTAAACTGAAGAGGAGAAAAAAACAGGAAAACAAACATATTTCTAGGACATGAATATTAATTTTACTTGAATAACATATGCAATTAAATAACATTTGAAATTCTACAGCTATTAAAAGTATTTCATTGAAATCATCTCTTTCCCTTATAATATGCTTTTGAGGACTTTCCATGGGCAGAAATATAGCCTTAATCTATTAATTTTATATGGAAATATGAATTGTTTGGGGATTTGATCATTCATGTGGAGCAAGAAGACACAGAAGAGAATAAAGTAAATATAATACATTATGAACCTTTTTTTCATGTACTTACATATTTTATCAACAGTTTAGCAAACACCTTTGTTTCTTGGTTTTCTAACTGTATGAAAGCACAGTTATCTCTTCTAACAACATTCAATGACAAATACAGTAACTCACTGCAGTGATTATTAATATATATATTTTTTAATATACACTGAGTTTTAGGACAGGAGACCAAAAAGGTGATGAAGCCTCTCTGGACTTTCTCTTCCTCATTTAAGCTTTCTAAGGGCCCCGAGCCCCTCAACTGTAAAGCATTTCTTCTTTCTGTAATGACATGAGTTCAAAAGAGAATCCTCATAAATAGTACGAAAAGTGATCCGATAACATATAACTTTTTAACCTTTTTAAAAATTCTTTTCTAGGCTGAACAGGACAATGGCCATCCTCTTCCTGCCTTCGCCAGTCTCCATATTGAAATCCTGGATGAAAACAATCAGAGTCCGTATTTCACGATGCCCAGTTACCAGGGCTATATCCTGGAATCCGCCCCAGTGGGAGCAACCATCTCCGACAGTCTGAATTTGACCTCCCCTCTGAGGATTGTGGCTCTGGACAAGGATATAGAAGATGTAAGCTCAATATAAATGTTGTCCTTGTTTCGTTAACATGTCTTGTTACATTTATGTCAACAGGAACTTTTACAAAGACCTAGTGACAGGAGGTATAGAATAGAGAACGGAGTCCTTGTGAATAAGAGTCTTTTTTTGTTGTTGTTGTTAATTGAAACTGCATTCTAACTTTTCTGCTCATTTAAAAGTAACCATTGGGAAAAAAAAAAAAAAAGTAACCATTGGATTTTATTGCAGTTGACCTTAAAGTACGCAATAAGAAGCAACCTCAAAATATGGTTCAAGATATGTTGA